CCTACAGCCTCCTGCGCCACCAACGCTGCCACCGCGCCGAGCTGGAGAGGGACGAGGCGCTGCAGGCGCTGCAGGCCCAGGCCGCGCCGTCGCCCCCGCAGCCCCTGAAGACTGAGCAGGAGGAGGAAGGGCCCCCCTTGCCCGTTGGACACATCAAGGAAGAGCCGCTGTCCCCAGGGACCCCACCCCGGTCCCCACCTGCGCCCCCTGTCTTCCTCAGCGCCTCCTGTTTTGACAGCCAAGACCACTCAGCCTTCGAGATGGAGGAGGACGAGGTGGACAGCAAAGCCCACCTGTGCGAGTCCGGGGGCCTGGCCTCCTGACCGGGCCGGGCTGCCTCTGCCATGCGGTCACCCGGTTTGCAGTGTGGAGGAGGGAAGTTGAAGGAGAGCCACCTCCTCTGTCTCCCCACCCCCTTGAAGCCCCTGACACTAAGCAGGGGGCCCCAGACTGCCCCTTCTCCCCATGGCCCACCCCAGCCCCATGCTGGTTAGGAACAGCTCACCCACACGTCTCTTAAGGCAGGACGACTTGGAAAAGGAGGCGGAGGGCAACTGGCCAGAGGGATGGAGTGGGCGCCCTGCCTGCCCGTGCACACCGGACACCATCACCTCTTTGGAACTGCCAGACCCTGGGGTCCCCAGTGAACGAAGGTCTGTCCCTGTCCCTTCGTCTGTCTGTGAATAAATGTGAGTCCGTGAGACCCAGGAGTGACGCTGTCTATGGAGGTGGGTGCTGGCAGGGCTGGGGTGACTGGTCTGCCCCAGGTCACACGCAGGAGCCCGGCCTCGGGGACACAGCGGGGACACATGCGGCTGGGGGATGTGCAACGGCTCTGCACACAGTCACACCCCACCCTGTGCCAGGTGCGAGCTGGGCCGTCATGCCTGCCTGGGGCCGGAGCTCCACAACTGCTCCGTCCCGGAGGGCGCCCTGGGAGGTCCTAGGGCTTGCAGGTCCCATCCGACTGGTGGCAGCCATAGCCGGCCACACGTGCCTGTTTCTCTTCTCTTTCTGTTAATTTTTTTACTGCCAGAGGCCGGGTACACATGAGAAAAAGACACACACACACACACACACACACACACACACCCCGGTCACACCGCAATCTTTCATTTGTCCCTCTTGTCGGATTTGGGGAAACGCATCTAAGCGTGCTTGTGCATACACACCCTGCATGGTTTTTTCAAGCCTCTGGGGCCAGGATTTGAACCTCCGTTGTCCGAGTGGAATCCGCCTTTCTATACTCTGCGTTTAACCGCCCTGCGGCAGGGCCAGCAAAGCGTCAGGTGAAGAGCACTCGACATGGAGAATGAAGTGTGGGCTAGGAGACACGGGACCCCCGGGGGCAGAGCAGCTCAGGTGAGAAGCACCTGCGAGGCGCACTCGGTGCGGGAGGACCGGCCGTGGGTTCGAGGCTAGCGCGCTGGCAGTGCCACTGGCACTTCCTGCAGTCCTTGGCGGCCAGACTTCCTCTCTGGCTGGACTCTGCCTGAGGTCACCTCGTCCAGCCCCATTCTGAAAACGGTCAGCCTCCACCAGACCGAGTGGTTTGCGGGTCCAGACTTCCCAGACTCCAAGCCCACCCTCGACATCCTGGCTTCGGGGCTGCAACTTGACAAGGCCACCTAGGCCCTGTCAGCTGCATCCTATGGGTCCCACTGCTCAGGGCAGGTGCTCTGGGCGCCATCTGTCTGTCCCTCCCTGTAAGAGTCCCGAAGCCCGTGCACTGGGTCCATCCCAGACATCGGCCCAGTCGGCCGTGGCCCACCATTCCGGGACAGGCCACCGCAGTGGCCTTTGGGCCTCCTGCTTCTACCTGTCCCCGTGGCACAGCTGCTGCGAGGCAGCCAGGATTTAAACCCCGGCCCGGGCCTTCCATGTCCCCCCATTTTCGTGCCAGCTCATACTCTGGTCACAGGCTGCCTTCACACTCAGCTCGGGGCCTTCACGTGTACGGGTTCACGGCCCGGGGAGGCTTCACTCATGTCCTCATGGCTCATCCACTAAGGTCTGCCCAGCTGGCCCTGTGCGCCTCAACAGTGCCCGTGACCGCGTTCTCCTCACTGGGCCCTGTCGCCGGGGTTTAAGGTGGTCTCGACTTTGAGCCCCTAGGGGCCTCGGACAGGTCACTGCGTCCCTGGCGAATGAGAATTACACGTCGGCCACAGCGCAGTGCTGCCTCTGTTTGGGGAGGAGTCCCACCAGCAGAAGGTGGCCTGCAGGGACTGCAGTGTCCCAGGCCCCAGGCATGAAGGGCGGGAGGGTGCAGGGCGCAGAGGTCCGAGACCACCTGCCGGCGCGTGCACAGGAGCCCTCACCGTCTCTGGGCGGCCAGCTGGGGGCCCCGGGAGGGCGGGGGTCCAGGATGGCCGGCTGTGTGTCTAGGCATTTGGCAGTCACCTGGAGGGTCACAACGACAGCACCGCGAGAAGGAGCCCTCGGGGGTGTGGGGACCAGCTACCCGGGAGCCAAGCCTGCTGTCGCCCCAGCCTGTGCCTCGCGTCGCCTGGCTGTTTCTTTAAATTCGGAATACATACATTAGAATAAAATGAACTCATATGAGCAGTTCAGCTCCTCGGTCACACTGCTTCAAGGACAGCACAAATGCAGAACTTTCTATTGTTGCAAACAGTTGCAGCAGACCGCTGCTCCAGGCACGGACCACTGTGAAGTTGAGCCCCGACTGTTACTGGGGCTCCAGAGGGAGCCGTAGCAAGGGGCCGCAGCGAGCCTGGAGCCCAGGACCAGGACGCAGGATGTCGGGCTGGAGGGCCAGGGACAGAGCCGAGCAGGTGGCACCAGGCCGAGGGCCAGACAGAGGCTGGGGGATGGGGGCGCTGCAAGAAATTGGGGTGGGGTGGGGAGGGAAGTTTTTGTTTGTTGGCTTTTAAGTTTATTTCTTCCATGACAAAGATCCCCAACAGGGTCTGAGCTGCCGTCTTCCCCTACAGCCAGCCCTGAACCTGCGCTGTGCACGCCCCGCGGTCCCAAGGTCTCTGGCGCTGCCCAGGACCCAGAACGGCCCAGGCCTATGCGAGTTGGCCTTGCAGAGCGTACGCCTTGCCGCCTTGCCGACCCCACGCCTCTGCTTAGCCCTAGGGCAGAGGGGCGGCAATCCAGCAGCCCTCTTGAGCCCTCCCACCTGCCACGCACTGGCTCTCTCTTGTCAGAGGTGCTGACGGTGTAGGTATCGGCCCCTGCCACGGCAGGGCAGGGCGGGTGAGATCTTCCAGGGTGACGGACTAGGCTCTGACAGGAGAGGTGCCCACTGAAGGTCCAGGCAGGAGGATGGTGACCAAAGATTTTTATTTTTAAAATATTATTTTATTTAACTTTATTTATTTATTTTAATTCGACCAGAGAGGGACAGAACAAGAGAGAGAGTGATAGAGAAAGCAAGCCTCCAGATCCGAGACTCGAATCACTGTCGGCCATGTGGGAGTCCGGCGCCTTAACCACTATCCCACCTGCCCCCACCCAAAGCTTTTAAGAAGACCCCGATGGGGCCAGCAGGTGGTGTAGTGGTTACACACTGGACTCCCATATGGCCAACCACGGTTCGAGTCCCAGACCTGGTGGCTTGCGGGAGGAGAATGGAGGAGAGAGGATTGCAATCCCCCCATCACCCCGGTGGGTGATTTCTCACTTTCCGTCTCTCTGTCTCTCTCATGAGTGCATACAGCAAAAAACTTTTTTAAAAAAATGAAAGAAAAAAGAAATGAAAAGAAAAGAAAGTCCCCCATCAGGGACTCAGCACGTCCAAACTGGACCACCGCGACAATGCCAGCCTGTCGGGTCGGCGCTGTGCCCGTCAGCATGGAGAGCTGCCTGGGGTGCGGGCGGGGCCCGCAGGGCACGTGCCTGTGAAGCTGATGGCCCAGCTCAGCAGATGGGAAATAAGCCAACACTGGCACGGAGCTTAGGGCTGCCCGCAAGGAGCTCCTCAGAGACCGAGAGGCTGCAAGGAGCCTTGAACCTCACACGCCTTGCGGGCAGGGACTGGTGCGCCCTGGTTACATCGGAGCCACTCCCCAAGGACCTCTGTGGCTCCTACTCCCTGTCCACACACGGGCCACTGCTCGGTGGGAGCCTGCGGTGGCCAACACCCCTCAGCCTGATACAGACAAAACCAGACACACCAAGGAGGGTTCTTCAAGCCTTGGGCTGGGATTCAAACCACGGCCGGCCGTGAGGAATCCAGCTCCCTTAGCCACTAGGCTACAGGCCTGCCTTTTGCAAATGTGTTGAAATTCCCTCGCAGGATGTCAATCATGTTTGCCAACAATGATGGACCACGAGCTCAGCCACGGAGGGGGGCCGGGAGGGCGTCTGTGGTGGCCGCAGCGGCACGAGAGGCCCAGGGCTGGGTCCCGGGCCATGCTAAACAGTCCGGCCGTGGCGTGGGGCACCTGCAGCCTAAGCTACAGGAGGCTGGGCAGAAGGATGGCGCCTTAGCAAGAACCTGCCTGACCTAGACCCTGCCTCATGCCTCACCTCTCCCTCATAACACAGCTTTTAATAACAAATGCGCACTTTCCCTCTCGTCTCTACGGCTTACACAGACTAGCCCGCTCAGCCCACACCGCGGCCCTAAAACACAGCTTTCATTGGCTCCACTTTGTTTTAGAGCATAGGTCTTTTCTTTCTATAATTGTTTTATTTAATTTTACTTATTGTTTTTAAATCTGACCAGAGACCTAGAGAGAGAGAAAGGGAAAATGAGAAAGCAAAGCTGCTAGGTCCAGGACTTGAACCACAGTCGGTCATGTGGGAGTCCAGCCCCTTCACCACCATGCCGTCTGCGGGCCCTTCCATTTTGTTTTATTTTACTACGACAGCTTTATTGGGGTATCGTTACATATTATAGAAGTCATTCGTTGTAAGTGCACAATTTAAATTGTTTTAAAAGAATTATTTATTTAACTTAATTTATTATTATTATTTTTAAAGTTTAACCGGAGAGGGACAGAGGGAAAGTGGGAAAGCACGCCGCCAGGTCCGGGACTCAAGCCAGGCAGTCACGCGGGAGTCCAGCGGTTAAGCGCCCGCTGCCTACCTGCACCACGCAACTTAAGATTTTTAACGAACTTGCAGAGCCACGCAGCTCGAGCCACGCCCACTTCACGACATCCCACCACCCTCAGCTTCCTTTGTGCTCATTTCTGCCCAGCTCTGGACAATGGCTCACCTGAGAGGGACTTGAATTAGTCTGGGTTCAGACAGCCAGGTCCCACATGGCTCACTGCACAGCTCAAGCCCCAGACCCAGTGGCTCGACCACCACGCAGGGCACATGTGCACGTGTGCCCCGAATCCCGAGAGAAGGGGTTCTAGTGTGACCATCCCCCCAGGGTGCTTTTTCACTGTCTTTGTCTCGTGCACACGCACACCTGCCCTATAGCCAAAAAAAACGTATGCGTCCGTTTTGGCACAAAAACTTCTCACAATCCACGTGCGGTTTCTTTCGCATCACCTTCTCCCTGACCTCGTGAAGTCCTCTCACCCCGCTGTCTGGGCCTGCCTACTCTGGCCTTTAGGATCACGGTCCGCAGCGTGCGGCTTTGTGCCCGCCTTCCGCTCAGCAGTGTCTTCAAGGCCCACCCGCTGTAAGCCGCAGTGGTGCTCTGGCCCTGGCGGCGACTGAGTTCTACTCCCCGCGCGGAGACGGCTCCTTCCGCTGATCGCTCCTCCGTCCGTGGGG